GCTGCTTCCTTTACAGTCAGTATCAAAAGATTTTACAGAGGAAAATCTCTCAGTTTTTCACTCTCAGTTCTGTAGTGAAACTTTGTCCAGAGACCTACAATGGCTTTGTGACAGATGAAAAACAGACTAACAAGCTTGTCTAGACTAGACCCATTAAGGAAGCAGTCAGGAGACTTGTTTGGGGGTAGATATACATGAGTTAATGGTTTTTTTAAGCATAAAGTGAGTTTAAACATATGTTTTGGCTTAGGATTTGGTTTGAATTTATTCTATCAGATTCACACCAAATGGTAATGCTAATACGCGGGATAATCAGTTAGCAGCATGAAGGATAGGGGAGGTGCTTTCTGTTCACAGCAAGCCTTAATAGCATGAACTGTAACTTTCATGCAGTACTCCAAGCACCACTAATATAATTTCTTTTAATCTTAAGAGTCTACAGTCTTGCAACAGATGGTGTGCACAGATTTAAACCCCTAGAGGCAGATACAGAGTGTGTGTAAGAAGCACACCTGACCAGACATGAACATTTAAAATTAAAAAGAAATTGGTGTGGGGAAGAAATTGGAGCGGGGAAGCATATTGCTTTCTCTGAAATGCACAAAAGTGGAGATTAACAAATATTAATTCCCATTTTATAAAACACTTACACTTTGTACGCAGGAGACGGTGGCAATGGAGGAGGAGCTAGTGTAGGGCAATGATAAATGAATCTCCAGTCAACATCATGAATATTCACGCACCCAAAGAGAATGCTGGCTTTTTGCCATCTCTAAGAAATTGCTTTCCCTTGCCGCTTAAATTTACTGAAAGTCATGTGCTTGCATGATCATTTTCATTATGTTTCAGATTGAAAGGAACTTCCACCTAGAATTGTTCCGCCTCTAACAAACCAAGGAATTGAACAAAACCTGGGATAATGATGTATGGGGCATGAAACATTCTTTGGACAGTTGTCATCAGTCTAATTCCTCAGAACTGATTTTTTCCTCTCACTCTCCCATGCCACAAGTTGGAATATATGAACTTCTTATATAAGGAATATTATGAGCTGAGTCTACACTCCTCTCATGCTGATGAGTCAGGTGTGGTCATTTTTCTCCATAACTTCTACAAGAAAACGTTCTCAGATGATGTAGTTTTGCTTCTGCCTCATACTGTCATGTCTGAGATTAATGAGAAAGCCACTGAGGTCACCTGATGGGACTCTGACAAAGCAATTTAGGGGCTATGCAAATAAGAATGAGCGTGCAGTCATAGTGATAGGGCTAGAGAATAATATCAGAGAATAGCAGATGATACATGTTAGAAACAAATACCATAATATTTTGAGTCAGCTCATAACTGCCAGTGGGCAACTGAAAAATTTACACAGCAAACACACAAATGTGTCTTCTAAAATTAGCTAGAAGGAAACAACTTGCTAAGGGAACTCTACCAGACATGTTAGACAGATTTCTAAGAAGAATGGCCCAAATGCAGGTAATTAGAGGGAGACTGTGACTGAAAAGAGGCTTACTCAGAAGGCAAGGGTAATTAAACAGGTCTTCTCAATTTTTTAAAATAAAACTTTGCTCCTATCTTTTGAATGATTTCCTAAGTCAGATCCAGCATACAAGTTAAACTCTGGAGCAGGTGGCTCAGTTGATAGACCCAACAACTTGCTAGGAATCAAAGTAGGAAGTCTTATATTACACTGCCTTGATAGGTTTGTCATAAATGTTTCTAACATATTAAATGAAGAGCTTTTCTTCTGTTCAGAGCTTTCCAGTTTCTGTTGTTATAGAAACTTCACCAAACACCTAACAATGGTCTGATTACATCCCGAGAACAGACACTCAGATGAGTTTGCCTTCAAGAGCCCTTACCAAGACTATACTGAGAAATTACAAATTTGGCCAGAGCCTAACCAGACAGATTTATTTTTATTTCATTCCTGGAGCCAATGCTGATCCAATATGTCAATGGAGGCAAAATCCATAGATGAATTAGGGAGAGATTTTGTATCTTACTCTTTCTTCTTGATCTGAAAAAGTACATACAGGCAGTCCCCGGGTTACGTACAAGATAGGGACTGTAGGTTTGTTCTTAAGTTGAATTAGTATGTAAGTCGGAACTGGTACATATTGTAGGGGAAACTCTAGCCAAACATTTCTCCAGAGCTCAGTTTTATTCTCCCACACCTCTCTTCCCTCAGTCCTTTATTCTCAAGCTGAGGTGTCTGCTGAGAAAAGCCGCTCCGCGTCTCCCTGGTCTGCTGGGGGGGGAGGGACGCTAGCTTCGCGTCTCCCTGGTCTGCTGGGGGGAAGCAGCTAGTGCGGGGTTGCCTCACCCTGTTTGTAAGTAGGGATCTGATGTAAGTCGGATCCATGTAACCCGGGGACTGCTTGTACTTTTAAAAATTAATAATAATTATTGCTGTTTTACATTTGATGGTGAACAATTAAAATAGTTTTCTGGGTTTTTTTTCAGTTTGGATTTGTCAGCAATTTTTATATCCTGGGCAACACCCAATAGAGAGCTTGGAAACAAACTAAAATCTCCTTAGAGAGGAAAAGGCTTTCTGCCTGATTTCCTTCCTGTTTCCATGGTACTGTGAAATACCAGGTATGGTGGAGCAGAGAAACCCTACACCATCAGAGAAGGATTCAAGAATCCCATAGGCCCAGCTAGCCTCATGCTACTATACATGCTGCCAATGCAAGTCCTGGAGAGGGAAGAAAAGGAGAGAACCTGTCTCATTTCAGGACTGACTAGCAAAGAAGCACAATGCAGCTCTACAGGATTTACTACAAGCCTGACAAAGGCAAGGGGCCACTGTCAGACTAAGGCTCACAGGCTCAAGTCTGGTGGATATCCGTAGTATGATGTCAACCTGCTGTAGAACATGCTGCTGTAGTTGCTGCTGATGTTGGTTGGCCATTTGTTGGAAGAGTTGCTGTTGTTGTGCCTTCTGCTTCACCATTCATTTTAGCACCTGATCTACCTCTGAAAACATCCATCAATGTGCAGCAGCAGTCACACGGAATGTTGGGCATCATGAAAGATGGGATAGAGAATATCTTATTGCCACCATAAAAATTCATGGTACACCCACATCTTGAATACTGCAGGCAGATGTGATTGCTTCATCTC